ATACACAGCAAACGAAGGCCATCGGATGGTCCCGTCTGTGACGTACCGAAGAAACGCATCTTCTTCAGACTTGCCTTCAAGGATGATCATGTAATGAACGACGTGAGTCAAAAGCTCAAGGCCGCATTGTGTTGAACATTTCCTGCCGCACATCTTCGACTAACACTATACGCCCATGGAATTCGTCTGGGAAACCGAAAACACAGTCAGCCGCCCAATTCTGCTTCGCATGTTATCTGTAAGGTCACCTGCAGTTGCGGTAACACTTACATCGGCATCTCTTCACAACGGATGTCCGAACACATTCCCAAAGAGTTATTACAGTCAACAAAATTTCAAAGTTCAATTGGATAAGAGAGATCTCGGGTCATCAGTCGCAAAACATCTCATGGTAACTGGACACGTCGCTAAACCCACTTTTGTCGTTCAAGCCGTTGCTACGTAACACGAAACGAAGGATCATAGCCTTCAGTGGGGTGATGCTAATCAAGTTACGTAACAAAATTTCGTGTGCGCAAGAGTTCCTGACGCAATCAGTCAAACTGCCATGGCACTTGATTCTGACTCACCTACCCTTGACTGTTGTCGGTTTAACCACTGTAGGTATCAAAACATTCCTGTATGAATAACAGATTGTTTTACGTTGTAGCGACTGAGGAGATTAGACGAAATGTTAACATTTTGCAATATTTATCTGCCCTCTATTTTAACAAATTGGATAATAGGACACTATGTTACAAAACTACAATCAAAACTCTATCTAGTACGGTTTTAAGCTGCGAAACAACAGTAGCTTAGTATCACTGGTATTATTTAATCGGTACTGATTACTTCAGTGTACATCGATGGATTTAAGTCGGGAAAATTATAGGAAAACAAAGAATTATAATCATTAGTCACAACATTAATGTGTGTGCACATGATATGTACATGTTTTGCTAAAATCGGAAGAGCAGGAAGAAATGATAACCAGATTGATAAACGGGTTGAAATCCACTCGACAGAGACAGCCCGCACCGATAATCAAAAAGCCGTGATCTCATCATTCAAACTAGATATTGTACAGTAAGACTGTGGTGGTGCTGGTGAAAAAGAGCCAGTGAAAAACGATCATGCCTAGATTAGTGCTGAAAGGGTTTCCGGATCCAACTGAAAAATCGATTCCTGCAGACGACTCAGCAAGTATTGTTTTAGTTGCACACTATATGAAAGGTGTTTGTAATCAGGTAGACGGGACGAGGCAGGTACTGAGAGAGAACAACGCCAAAGATTACGAGTTACACCATCACAGCGATCTGACGAAATCTTGGATTGGCTTGCTGAAAATCGACTCATTTTTGATATCATTGTCCTATACATAACGATTTGACCGATAATTTGTGATTGCTGCTATGAGATCTGACCACAGTACATCAATTCATACCGGATGATCTCATCCCAAGTTAAAATTAAGATGATTTTATTGAACCGTGCAGACGAAAGTCGATTTTAGATGGTATCTTAAGAGTTAGTGAATGGATGATCCAATACAATCTTCCCGAAAATTTTTCTCACTCATCCGGATGATACTTATTGGCTTAAAACGGCAAATGAATACCCTAT